ATAATGAAACAATCGATTTTCGAGGGCAGCTAAGGTCCCTCCTCATCCGAAAGAAATACTAGAAGAAGAAAATAAAGGAGAAGGAGTCACAGAAACACGTGTCCTTATCACACTGCACATGGTTATAACTAGATTTTTAATCAGAGTTGCACTGGCCGCCTACTTTTACTGAGCCAGGCTATCTGATAGAGCATGAAATCTGAACTTCAGTGGATTTTTATACCCTCTGGTAGTACCAAACGCGAGAGGTAACGCCATCTATCGGCAAAATAAATGAATTAAGATAGTAGAATTTTAAAGGCATTAGGAAGGACTGGGATTGGACTTCAAATCATTAACTAAACCTGCTAAATCTTTGTGAATGTGAAAAGCCTCAAGAAAATCCAATTCACCTATGTAGAAGCCTTTTGGATAATTTTTGCAGACCCAAATAAAATTATGGTTAAAAGTCCAACTATGATACGCTATTGAAGACTTTTAATTTCCTTTTTCGGACATAAGATTCATGTTCCTTGATACGAAACTTCAACTTCTTTTTGTTTGGCCGATATATCTTAAACCACACTGACACGATATATATATAAATTCCCAAGAATTCAAGACAGAAACGCAATCTTTTAGAATCGAAGTGTGAATTTTATTAATAGCGGGGAGAAACCGACTTGAAAAATTGAATTTCTGGAGAATCCGTGCAATTTTATATAACAGAAGGATTAAAATGGAAAGCACGACAAGGTCATTATAATTTCTAACAGTGGAAGATTTTAACAAATGTTAAATCTTGCAAAAAGAAAATGAGATCTTACGTGAAATTCATTCTGATACTAATATCATTATCTCTAAAGCTGATAAGGGCGGACAGATCGTTGTTATGGGACAAACCACATATATTACTGGAGTCTCTAAACTGATAAATGAAGTCCCATACTGCTCGATCCCTAAAGATCCTTCAACTTCGGACCTCACGAAAGTAAAAAGTGCTATTAAATCTTCCCACATTCTGCCAACTCAGTTGAAGAAATCACTTATTCCACCTATTACTAATTGCGCTAGACTTTATGCTCTTCCAAAAGTCCACAAAACCGGTATTCCTTTTCGACCAATTGTTTCCAACATAGGTACTGCTTCATATCCTTTGCCAAATATTTAGTTTCCAGATTTCTCCTCTACTTGCTAACAATATTCACACTGTAAAAAATTCTGTGAAGTCATTGATAAACTTAAAAATATTTCTCCACTTCGTTCCATTATGGTTTCATTTGATGTCAAATCATTGTTTACTAATGTTCCGGTCGAAGGAGCACTAAATTGTCTTGAAACTAGGCTTCGGGAATTTCACTTCACACATACTGAAATTAATGAGTTGGTTTCGCTTACTAAAGTTTCTCTAAGTCAAACCCACTTTGCTTTCCAAAATGCATATTTTCGTCAAGTTGAAGGATTGGCTATGGGTAATCCTCTCAGTCCGGTACTTGCTGACATTTATATGCACTATTTTGAGATGAAATTATTTGATACTATCTTTTCGTCTTTGGATTCGGTATGTTGACGACACTTTCGCACTTTTTGACGGTTATAAAGAGGATTTATCCGAGATTCTATCTATTATGAATTCAATTGATCCAGCCATCCAATTCACTCTTGAAATTGAATCCAACAATTCCCTCCCCTTCCTCGATATTCTTATAATCCGCAATGAAACTGATTTTAGCACCACTGTGTACCGTAAACCCTTTGCAGTTTGTTTACCACCCCATGCCAAGTCATGCCACCCTGTTAAGCAAAAAATGGCTTCTTTTTACTATTATGTTTTTCCGCGCGCTTAAAGTTTGTTCCTCTGAATCTTGCTTATCAATGAACTTAATTATTTGAGAGCAGTTGCGATTGACCGTGGATTTTCTCCCGTGATTATTGATAAAGCCGTTAAAAAATTTTCAGATTCCCATCAAAGAAGACATTCCACTGTTAGAAATAATATTAATGACCTTGTCGTGCTTCCATTTTATCCTTCTGTTAGCTATAAAATTGCACGGATTCTCCAGAAATTCAATTTTCAAGTCGGTTTTCTCCCCTATTAATAAAATTCACCCTTCGATTCTAAAAGATTGCGTTTCTGTCTTGAATTCTTGGGGAATTTATAGTATATCGTGTCAGTGTGGTTTAAGATATATTGGCCAAACAAAAAGAGCGTTGAAGTTTCGTATCAAGGAACATGAATCTTATGTCAGAAAAGGCGAAATTAACAAGTCTTCAATAGCGTATCATAGTTGGACTTTTAACCATAATTTTGATTTTGGGTCTGCAAAAATTATCCAAAAGGCTTCTTCCATAGGTGAATTGGATTTTCTTGAGGCTTTTCACATTCACAAAGATTTAGCAGGTTTAGTTAATGATTTGAAGTCCAATCCAGTCCTTCCTAATGCCTTTAAAATTCTACTATCTTAATTCAGTTATTTTGCCGATAGATGGCGTTACCTCCTCGCGTTTGGTACTACCAGAGGGTATAAAAATCCGTTCAGTGGTTGCTTTCCATTATTTGAAGTTCAGATTTTGAGCGTAAGGTGCATTTGCCCCTCGCTCCCTATTTTAACTTCGCTAATTTTTCATGCTCGATCAGATAGCCTGGCTCAGTAAAAGTAGGCGGCCAGTGCAACTCTGATTAAAAATCTAGTTATAACCACGTGCAGTGCTGATAAGGACCACGTGTTTCTGTGACTCCTTCTCCTTTATTTTCTTCTTTCTAGGTATTTCTTTCTCATGAGGAGGGACCTTTAGCTGCCCTTGAAATCGATTGAGTGTTTCATTATACCTACGCTAAATACAAGGTTGTTTTTACGATTTTGACTTATTACCATATTTTAAATCATTCTTAAAGTAATACTCACAAGAATAGTTGTCTTGAATTTTTCTACTACTCCAAATTAAAAATATTTTTTATTATTTTACAAACAAAGAATTTTTAAACTAAATCATATTTAAGACTGTGTTATGAAAACTTTTTCATTTCTGCACCTTAATTTCCATAATAGTTTTAAACAATATAATTTAGCACTTTCGGAGAGAAAATTCAGTTCCTGGAGAATGGACATATTTAACTAAGCTTTCGTTTAGAATATTTAGCAATATGGAAGAAATTCAGCCTGAGCTAAATTCATCCTTAACCTCCTTCTTAAACTTTTGGAATTTCTTAATTTTGTTATTAATCTGCTGAAGAGTTGGAACAGAAGCTGCATTCATGAACTTCGATGCATTTACATCTGTATTACTTCTGAATTTTTAATTCTCGATAAATATTTTAAATAAACGCTTGCTTATCACCGTTAGTGATAACTATCACATGCTTTTTTTTCAGTTAAGTCGTGGACATAGGCATCATTTATTAAATGGATATAATTTTTAGTTAATATTCAGTATTTTTATGTATTTCCTTATACACGTCTTTTCAATAGTTAATAGCAATGTAAGTTCCTATATTATTTTTTCTCTTCTTTCTTCTTCGTGCGAAGCATTTTATATAAGTAAATTCTAGTGAAATCAATAAATTTAGGAATATTCCAATAATAAAATTATAATTATTCAGAGAAACTCGAGAAAGCCATGAATAGTAGTATTATAATCACATATATTAAGTTATTTTCTAAGTCCGCAAACAGTTACATAATTATTACATGGTTGAATCTAATCAGGTCCATAACAGAATTGGAATTTAAAATAACTACAATAGTGTGAAATCATATTCAGACACGAGGTTTATCATAATTTATAAGAGAACAACAAGAAAAAATACGAGCAGAATGTTATGCTCATGTGGCACAGATAGCTCTTTTCTTTTTCCAAGGCGGCAGTGTGTCGGAAGTTTTTAATTCAGTTTCGAAGTGTAATATAAGTAATGTGCGTTGTGAAGAATATCGTGAAGTAAGATCAAGTTTGTTCCTCCTCATATTTAGCAATGTTATCTGTTTCTGGGTTATTTCCCCTCTCATTAAAAAATATTTGCTAATATAAATTTAAAAACTACATTTCTTTGCAGGATATAGAAAATCTCGTCATTGATGCTGCCGTACAAGCTTTGGTAAATTACAACACTGAAGCTATTAAAGGCATTCTAAGACAGTGCTCCCATGCAAATTATGATGTTCCCAAACGGTTCCGGTTCCCTACGGTGGAAGATTGTATTTTTCGAATACCTGCTATGTGTCTGCTCCCGGAAATGGATGTTGCTGTACCAGGTAATCACCATTTGCATAGTTTTATAATGTTTTACAATTAGAGAAGAACAATTAAAACTGAAATTATATTTGTTCCTGTTATGTTAATAATAGCAGTTTATTAATGCAATATTTTGCTTCGATTAATTTCTTTCTACCACCTTCTTTATGTCTACTAGAAAATTGAAAGCTCTCGTTAAAAAGAGGAAGTGACATTTGCAATTTAGTAGGATTGGATCACTCCTATCACCTTCTTGGTAGCCTTGATGGGTGCATTCTTAACATTTTGGGCATATATTTATATATATATATGTATGTTCCACATTTAGTGTTCATCTATGTTGATTCTTGATGTTATCTTTTCCGCTTAAAAGCATTCTGTAAAAATGCGAAAAGAACTGAAATACTGCTAAAATATTTTTTGCCGAATTATATTGAAAAAAAAAATGAAATCACGGAGTCAAAAATTTTAATTCTTTGATTTATTAATTAAATTACTGCTGCATCCTTTTAATAAATTTAAGTTTACTTTTAAAAGCTGCATTATTAATCTTGCTTTCCAAAAAGCCGAAGTTAAAATTTTCCTTGAATTAAAAATTTATAATTTGAAGTTTCTTTTTGTTTTGTATTTTTCTCATTTATACATGACATATACCTCTTTCTGTCACAACTTTGTTTATAATTCTTATTCATAAATAATATAAAGTATGATAATTTGTATGGTGAAACATATTTCAGTATCTATTGAACAAAAACATCTAAAGAGAGAAAATATTTCAATCATCTCCCGAAAGGGCTGTTTAAAATTTTAACATAGTTTATCGGTAGAAATAGACGTCGTTCAGCTGGAATAGAGAAACTTTTTATATAACAGTAGATGAACATGCATTTAGACTAAAATGGAAACGTTATATATCTTCTGTATATTTAAAAAATGAAACAATATGTAATGTAATTCTACAAACATTTTAATAATCCCTACTAAAAATGCCCCATAGAAACCAGTAAAACTTTTTATGGGTACCCATAAGATTTTATGGGTTTTTATTGACTTTTACTGGTTTCTGTTGGTCTTTGTGGGTTTTTTTTACTGGTTTCAAAATGACCCATAGAAACCAGTAAAACTTTCTACTGGTACCTGTAGAATTTTTGATGGTCTCTATTGACTTTTACTGGTTTCTATTGATCTCTGTGGGTTTTTCTTACTGGTATCAATTGACACCCATACAACCAACATTCAATGGCAGAACTTTGTACTGGCTTGTATAGGTTTATATTGACTTTTACTGGTTTTCTTACTGGTATCAATATAATAATAAATCTTCTGTTGGTTTATATGGATTTATGCTATTTTTTTATCTGACGTTAATATACTTGTAAACAATAAAATTAACAGAATGAAAATATGATCTCTTTGAGACCACCAGAGTAACCTGGAAACGCAGGTGGTCGTTTTAGAGAGGGTTTTTACTAAATATGCTTATTTATTTGATTAAAAAATTTTTTTCGGAAACAATAACAGTAATCATATACACCACACACAACAAGGTCTCTCCAAGGCGACCAGCCACAAATAAAAATTCATCTTTGCAAGTGGTCGCCTTAGAGAGGTGATGCTCAATACCAATAGATACTCACGTTCTCAGAGATGCGTTTATCTTTTAGAGGTGGTCGTCTTAGGGAGATTGCATCTACGGAATGAATCTCTCTAAGGCGACCAGACACTCTTGCAGAATTTTCTTTGTGAATGGTCGCCTTAGAGAGGGAATATTCAATACCAAAGTATACTTATGTTTGCAGAAATACTGGTCTCATTCAGAGGCGGTCGTCTTAGGGAGGTTGGTTTTTGCTACGAGTTGGGTTCTCTGAACTACACACACATAAGCACTTACATTTCTGATATTACAAATAAACAACCACAAAAAACCTATCAACCAAATTCTTAACGCGAACAAGTTCATTCAGAATCGCAAAACTTTTCTCCCTGTTAACGCTGACGTGAAAAAAATAATTCGCCCTCCCTCCCCCACTCTCAGAAGTTTCCCAAACAAGCAATATGGTGCCGGTCTAGTTATTGTTGTGCGATGGTGGTGTTATTTTCATCGTGGTTGTAGTAATGCAATATATTATTTACTAGGATTTACTGTATTACAAATTTTACTATGTTTTACTGTTTAGAAATTAGTAATAAACAATAAAATACAAGCACTGACCATGAATATACCACTAAAGCCATGCACGTGTAATCGTGTCTAATGTTTGAGAGAACGTTGCTGATAACTGACTAGTTGTGAAATGGAGATTCTGTGCGTGAAATTGATTTTCCATCTTTACTTTTAACCTGAAAAACAATGTGCTTAAAGACTGAAAAGTGATAATTTCAGACTTGATAATTTGGTTCAGTGTGCAGATGCAGAAATATATAGTTTTATGCATCCTACTGAAACTGTATTTTGGAAAATTTATTTTTTTTGATTACAGTTTGGAAATACTTTTTTAAAGCTTGTTCATGTAGATGCTTTATCATTTGAATATTATGTACTAATAAATTTGAGCATACTTTACTTAAAAATGATCTTGCATGATTCAATTTTTTTCGACTAATGTGATGTGGCCAAGCAAAAAGAATGTTTTTTTTATGTTTTAAAAAATGTACTAATTATATTTCGTTGCAAAAAAAGGTAAGTTTTATTAATGAAATTAACATTGAATATTTAATTGGTTTTTTACTTATTGAATGGGGGTAGACAAGACATACAAGCTTAAGGAATCTTTTTTCCACTACTAAAATTATGTGAAAATTTAGATGATCATAGTAGCTTACATTGTTTTTTTCTTTTTGGTCTATTTTTCTTTACAAGTATGAGACTAGAACCACATTTTTACATTAAAATATTTTGTGCTATTTTGTTAAAACACATATAATCATTTTTATGCATACTTTAATTTTCATTATTATTAGTTTGATGAAGAAAATTTCAAATGTGTTTTTCATAAATTGCTTTTGAAATAGAAATAGATTTGTGAATAAGATTTATGTAATATTAAATGTACTAGTCTTGGAGAGTATAAAAAAGTGAATTATTTATTTGAAAAAAATTTACATTAGTTGAAACCTCATATAGTGGTTATTTTCTTAAATGACCACCTCTGAATGGCACATTTGTCAGGACAATAATTAAATAAACAGGACTTAAAAAATCATTCATAGTTTTGTCAGGCTACAGGAAACTGGCATTATCTTGAATTGTGGAGTTGATTGTTTTAGGAACGTTTTGCTGTATAATCAATTGACTTCGGTGTAGTAATTTTTACGTGGGTATGAATTTTGCAGAAGTAATTGAACGTTTTTACGAGAATTTAAAACCAAAGCTTTTCGGATCATGAGTCTTATAAGGGCACTGTTATAGCATTGCTTTCAAATATAGTTTAGAGTAATGTTTAAAACATTTTTTCGGAAGCACTTCCACAGGGAATCCGGTTGTTCTCTGCGATGAAAAACCCATATAAATAAATCTTCTGTACAGCCTTATACAATGCAGTTAAAATTACTTTCATTACAATAGAGTGAATATAGCCTACATTTGTTTACAAAAAGTTATTGCTAAATACTGCACTATATCAATTTCATTTGGCATTGTAATTTCAGAAAATGCTCAGCATGAGGTATTTTATATTATATAATCTACTGTCAAAAAACAATAGCTACCTTTTCAGTACTTTAAATTTTACTATTGAGAATTTTTATGGTTCAAAATAATATTTCTATACATTATTTCAAGTATTCTTTCTACAATAGAAATCTAAATAACTTGCCACCTAAAAACACTGGCTCAAATTTATTCCAATAATGCATCGCTTTAATTAAATTTATGTTCCTTTGAGATGATATATGAAAAAACCTTGTGTGTAATAATAAATTATTGAATATATATAGGTAAATGGTATTTTTATATATTTTTTCGGGTAAAGTGCAGAATCGCCCACTTATTTATTTGGCACTTTGTACAAAAGTAAAAGGAATTGGATTTTTGTCAATTTTCTTTTGACTTTTTAAGTGAAAATAGGTCGATGTGTACATGAATAAAGTCAAAGGAGTGCACAATGGCATTTTTGTGCAATTCTGGGATGTTTTTTTAAGTGAAAATATGTCGATGTGTACATGGATACCGAGTATGTGCAATTCTTAAAAACACTCCAAGCAGTGGGCGATTCTATTCACCTTTCCCCCCCATTTTTCTATAGGAATTTAGTTTCATTAAATTAGTTATTTAGTATAATTATGTGTATATGAGTATATTCACACCCTGCTAAAATGCCCCGTAGAAACCCATAAAATTTTTTTATGGGGAATTGGCCTACGGGTACCTGTAGGCTAAATCCCCGTAAAAACCCATAGACAGAAACCCGTACAAAGACAGAAACCCGTACAATTGTACGGGTTTCTGTCTATGGGTACCCGTAGGCCAAATCCGCGTAAAAACCCATAGAAAGAAACCCGTACGGTTGTACGGGTACCCGTAGGCCAAATCCCCGTAAAAACCCATAGAAAGAAACCCGTACAATTGTACGGGTACCCGTAGGCCAAATACCCGTAAAAACCCATAGAAAGAAACCTGTACGTTTGTACGGGTACCCGTAGGCCAAATTCCCGTAAAAACCCATAAAAAGAAACCCGTACGATTGTACGGGTACCCATAGGCTGAATACCCGTAAAAACCCATAGAAAGAAACCTGCACGGCTGTATAGGTACCTGTAGGCCAAATACCCGTAAAATAACCTGTAAACAGAAACCCGTATGACTGTACGGATGGATATGAGTAGGCCAAATCTCTGTAGAAACCCGTAGAACTGTAGGCACTATAAACAAAATCCCAGTAAAAACCCATAGCCAAAAATCAAAACTTTATATGCATATCCATTGGCCAAATTTCCATAAAAAAAAAATGGATATTCCGTAGGTCTATGCCTTGTAAAAACCAGTAAACAAAAGCATGTACACCTATACAGGCACCCATAG